GAGTACAATGTGGAGAACTAAAAGGAGGAGATGCCATCATGGCAGACAAAGGTTTTGACATTGGTGATGACCTTGCAAAATTGAAATTGAAATTGAATATTCCTCCCTTCTTGAAGGACAAAGTGGGATTTGAAGAGGGTGATGTAATCAAGACCCAGACAATAACATGGCATCACATTCATGTTGAAAGAGCTATAGGTAAAGTTTGAAGATTCAGAATTTTCCACTCTGTCATTCCAGTTTCTATGTTTGGCAGTATTAATCAGACATAGTGTTGCCTGTTTCCTTTCTAATTTCTTGAATCCAGTACTTTCTAAAGATGAAATATCACGAAAGACAATTATTCTTCTGCTAGTCAACAAAGACACCCTTAAATTTTACTTTGATTTCCCAACTGTGGTGTTCTACAACAGAAGACTATAGAGAGAAAATAACATGTATAAACACAGGAAATGTAATGTGCCTTTCCCAGTGTGATTTGCCCGCTATTGTGACATGCCTATGATTTCTATGTTACTGTTATGTACTGTTATGTATGGATAGTGGAAAGTGCGATGTACTTTCAAGACCTCGGGCCGATATTCTCTCAGTAGGGCCCTCGCGCTTGGTTAATAAGAAATATGTATTCGTATTTATTATATACATTCTGAGATTTACACACTGAAAAGCCGCAGAGTAAATTTTCGTTCGCAAACCGATGTAAACCAATCAAATGTCGCGTATCGCTTTTCCCACATGTGAGAAAAGCGATACGTCCAATCAGGAGCCGCGTATTATGTTTTTCCACGTGTGAGCCGTACGGCAAGTTGAAGTTTTCATTCAAGGTTGCTTGGCGTAGTTTCGTACACCGCACAACGCCAGCGCTTTGCAAATGGTTTTTATTCGCATTTCTTCCATTGCAAGGAAGTTTAATATTGAAAGTTCCTGTCTCGGCGAAAGCCATGAGCGAAAAGCGTTTTGTTATCCACGATTCGTGACTTTTGGATTCATAACTTTTGGATTTTATTTGAGCTCTTTCCCTTTTTGCGAAGCTGCTTTCATTCAGTGATTGTTGTTTGACCACATTTGTTTAAATAATGCTTGTCATAATTTAAGGAGGGTGTTAAATTTCAGTATCTATATAACAAACATAATACCACATGGAAAGTGCTTTGTACGGTTTGTTAACACCGTACGCGCGCACTTTCCATGAAGTATTCTATATGTATCCGTAAGTTACTCGTATGTTACTCCTATGTTACCCGTATGTACTCGTGTGATGTTTTAGACTAGGTTTACACTAGAGGAAATTGTTCCGGATTCGTGATGAATCCGAAAAGTTTTAGTACCGGATTCATTCTGCCGTTTACATGAAAGTGGACGAATCCGAAATAAAAACTTCCCGGTTTGGTCGTGTCTCCGGAGATTTTGAATCCGGAATTTAAAGTGGAAACTTTGAATCCGATAACTTTTGAATCCGGAAAGTTTTGTCGT